GCACACACCTGGGTTACACGCGGCACACACCTGGGTTACACACAGCACACACCTGGGTTACACACAGCACACACCTGGGTTACACACAGCACACACCTGGGTTACACCTGCTCTGTGGGCACCAGCCTTGCCCCAGCCCACCCTACTAATACCTTGAGAGGCTGCCTAGAACAGAGCCTAGACAGCAGGGATTTAATAAACTAAACTATAAATAAACTAAATAAACTATTTCAATAAATACTTTAATAATGTAGGGATTTATTAAAAGGCCTTCAAAGGACACACCTTGAGTAGCAAAAGAGCCCAGCCGTGGCTCTGCCCAAGATGGACTCTGAGTCACAAGTTTTCACACTTTGATAAGTTTTGGTCCATTTCCATATTGGGGTTAATTGTCTAAATTCCAGCTCCACGTTAAGCAGTCCCATCCTCCCAGATTACTCTCCTCAATTCCCTGCTGTTTACACTTTTTGGGCCTGAAGCTGCATTGGCTCTGAGGCTGGAAAAGGTTTGTTTTGTGTGACCGAGCTGTGAGGCTAGCATATAAACTGCATATAGACTGGCTAGCACTTTATATGCAGTTCAGAGTTACACACTATGCAGTGCAGAATCTGGAAAACATGAAAGCTGACACTTGGGGCATCAGTACCTCCAGCGAGTCCCCCGAGATGACCAGGGCACAGTCGTGCTTGCGGCGGAAGGCGTTCAGCTCCAGGTGGGCTTCTCCTCGGTTTGTCACCTGGGGGAGGATGGAACTGAGCAAGGTGTGCTCCACTGGGGTGAGAAAACAGCAGAGAGTCCCAGAGGGAACAAAAGTGACACAGCCAGGACAGGCAGCACACTGAGTCAGGGCAGCAGTCACAGAAATAAAAACTTGGGGTAGAAAGTTGGGGCAGAAGAATAAAAATACCCTGCTGGAAAACAGTTGGGATCTCACAGCCCTCCGGTCCCAGGGCCTGGGCCCCTTGAGGCAGGGCCTGTGGGTGTTACTCACTAGTCTGAATATATGGATGTCCTGTGTCCGTGTCACCAGATGAGCGTTCTTGGCCGTACACGTGGCTGTCTCCAGCTTATCCCCTGTCAGCATCCACACCTAAAATCCAAACATTTCATGTGTTAAGTGAAGCTCAACAACCACGTCTGCAGGACCTCTGCAAGTACCACCTGCCCCTTCAGGCTTATAAAAGGACTGTTAAAATACATGTACAAATTATTCTTCTAAAAACCCCTATTTTAAAACACGCAAGAAAATTCTCACATGCGAAAGAAAGCAAAGCTCTTACACAGGCTGAGACACAGAGGAAGTTACAAACTCTGGGTAGCATTTTTCCCACCTGCAATATTTCAAGATTCTGCTGATAAACCCATGAAATGCAAGTAAAAAAATGTGTATTTGTGTGTTAATGTGTCCCTCCCCGGCCATTTCTCAACCGGGCCCTGCTGCAGAAAGATCCCTCCTGGCCCAGCCTGAAATGTGGATGATGCAATTGGGGTTAGCTCAGTGCTGATGTGTACGTCTGGAACACACTACCTTGCTTGACGGTTTTTTTTAGATTTTTTTTTTTAAATCTACACTGCTCCTTTTATTTTGTGCTGGTGAGGGGAGGGAGTCAGAAAGCAATGTCAGCAGCAATGGCTGGGAATTCCTTCTCCAGTGTAAATATATCACAGTGAGTTTGGTTTTTTCCACTGGTGTTTTTATTCTTTCAAGACACTGCCCAAGAATATTTAATGAAAAATACAAAAACATTAAGAAAATCTCAAAGCATCAACAAAAAAACCCACACAAAGACTCATTCATTTGTTAAATAATCTGAGGTTGGAAAGAGATTTGATCCTAACAAGACAGTCATGAACTGCAGGACCCCCTCCACTCCGGGTTTACTCCTCACATGCAATGCCCTGAAGAACACTGCAGTGCAAGGGGTGCTCAGCACATCCCACACCTCCAGCTCCAGCCAAGGTGAGGAGAAAGGGAAGCAGAAAAACCCTTTGGAGTGCTGGGCCAGGACTCCAACATCACTGAGGAGCTCTGATTCCCCTGGTCTCACCTCTCTGCTGAAGTCTCTGCTGTTTACAGGGGTGGCCCCAAACAAAAAGCACTTTTGGAAGCTCATCCCAAGTATTGAATTCCCTGTCCTACCTCAGCCCCCAACACACAGCCCTGCTTTGCATTCACAGCACAGCTTTGGATTTTTGCTCACTTTGCAACTTAAAGCAGAGAAACCACAACCAGGACCTTTCACCTACTTTGCTTACCCAAATCTGAATACTTAATCCACTTTTTTCCCCCCTTTTGCAAGCCTGGCAAATTTTTCAGAGAGAGAACCTACACAGGCACCACAGCAGCTCCCTCACAGCTGGGCTGTAGGTGTGGAGTCACAGATGCCCAGAAAGCTGGAAAAAAAAAAAAAATCCAGTCCCTGATTCTCTTGGCTCAGACTCCCCTCTAGTGGCTACTGAAACGTGGATATCCACAGCTCCAAACCCAGCACGGGGGTTCATGCAGCACAAAGCAAACACAGCCCCAAACCTGCCTTGTTTCATGCAACTCCCTGAAGGAAGAACTGCCCCTAAATCTCCTGTTGGACGCCCCTTGTGCCTACCCAATTCCTTTCTGTGCAGGAAGAGATGAAAAGCACTAGAGGTGCCATACTCATGTGTTAAGATTTACCACCTGCAGCACGTTCTGTTCCCACAGTGATGTTTAAAACCCTCACAGGGCCCCCCAGCACTTGAGGCACTGCCCGTGGGACAGTGGCACACACTCCAGAGGGTCTCAGTGTCCCTGCTGAAGCAGCCCTGGGCCAGGCAGACCTTAATGCCAGCGTTCCTCAGCGTCTCCAGCGTGGGCCTGACGTCTGTCTGCAGCTGGTCCTCCACCCCAGTGAGACACAGCAGCTCCATCTCCATCTCCAGGCTCTCGATGACCGTGGCCACCTTCAGGGAGCGGTCGTGGACACTCAGCTTGGCCTGGACGTAGCGTGCCTGGGGACACAGTTGCCTGGGTTATATTCTGGTTATTCAGGATTCAGGAACTGCTTGGGAGGGCCTTCCCTGGGATAAACACTTCATAGCTATCACTTGAAAAGCAACTTTGATAAAAAGAATATCAAGACATTTCAGAACAGCAATTCTAGCAGAGAGTTGGGAGGTGAGAGGCAGCATTATCACAAGAGTTTTGTGAGAATCACTCTAGTGACTGTTTAAAAACAAAGGAAAAAAACCAAATAAAAACTTACTTCAAAGTCTTGGTACTGCTCTTCTGTCAGAGACTTCTTGGCCACGACAAGAACCCTGAGGCCTTCCCGAGCCATGTTACCACACTGCAAAGAAGGATCACATTGTAAACCATAAACTGCACTGAAATGATTTATGCACAGCAGCATGGAGATGGCAGTGTAAGATAGCAGGTTAAGAAAATAACCATCCCATTTGAGCAACCCCAGTGAGTCTGCAATATCTGATAAAGTGCATGATAAACTCGAGAGGAAAGAGGGGATCTGCAGTGGTTTGTGACCTACCCAGAGATCAGGAAGAAAAATGTCCTCACTACTACACCACGGGGGCAAAAACACCCCCACTGATTAGATTTTCTCTGTGTCTAAGTAAAAGGGGACAAGCCTGTGATTTGTAGACTTCACATCTTTGGCAACCAACTCTTTAAAATAAGCCCAAGTTATTATTATTTCTCTGAACACCAGAGAATCAGTAAGTGAAGCTACTTTTGAGGATGCCCCTGGATCCCTGGCAGTGTCCCAGGCCAGGCTGGACAGGGCTTGCAGCAGCCTGGGAAAGGTGTCCCTGCCCGTGGCAAGGGGTGCAATGGGATGAGATTCAAAGTCCCTCCTAACCCAACCCATTCTGGGATTCCATGAACTCCGTGCCCCCATTACTGCTAACCTGACAAACACACCCCAGCACAAAGCTACTTTCAAATGTAGTTTTGAAATCAGACCCTTCAGGCCAAAACAGAGCCAAACACAGAATCAAGCCCAGGACAAATCTGATGAGTGTCAGTCAGTTTTGAGCCAAACCCATTTTATTCCCAGGACTTATTCCACATTAACTACGCTGAACTCGCCACTGACACCCTTGTTCCTGTGGGTGTATCTGGCTGAGGACTCATCCAAGGAACTGCCAGGATCAGAACCTTCTGCCTTGCAGCCATTTCAGCAGTGAGCTGGACGTTTGAGCCCTGCTGCAGTGGCCTGGAGCAGAGCAGAGCAGAGCAGCCCCCGTACCTCCTCCTCCAGCCAGTCGTTGTACTGCACGATGCCAGCCATCACCACGTCTGCCCCCTTCATGTAGAACGTGATCTCTCCTGTGGATTCATCCTGCAGACACAACACAGCGCTCACACAGCTGGGGGGCAAAGTGAGCCAGGAATTCTCAGCACAGCAGGCACAGAGCTGTATGCTCTGCTCAGCTCCTGCTCTGGGGCCAGGAGATGCCTACCCAGCTCCTCCCAGCAGGAATTCCTGCTTTAGACAAGGGGGATCAGCTTTTAAATCAGCATCTCCACAGAGACAGACCCTGCCCAGACAGCCCTGAGTGCCTGTGCCTCCAGAATAACCTCAAGCCCTCACCTTGAAACCTGACTCTGCTTACCTGAACAACAGGACAGATGCACAAAGTTTAGCAGAGTGAGAATCACTCTGATTTACCTGCTCTGTTACACCATATGGAATATGCATAATTAAAGCTCGTGCTTGCCACAGAAAGCTTAGACTGCTGCCTGCCTTATCTGATACAAGGAGTTTATAGGCTGCAAGCAAAGCATATTTACATTACCACAAATTAAAAGGTCCCTTCTAAGCAGGCAGATATGTAAGGAGGCCACAGTTCTGAGTATTACAAGCTAATGGAAACACTGGCAATTTCCTCAAATGAGACAAAACTATGAGCAAGTAACAAACTGCTCTGTAAACCTTGACAGCCACCAGGGATAGGAGGAAAACAAACTTAAAATGCAAAACCAACAAGCCCAGGAAGGTCTGAAATAAATAGCTGTGAATAAAGGGACCAAAGAACTTTGGGAATAAGAAAAATGAAAGAAAAGCAAAATGGACACTTCATTCTCTCACCTAATATTTGGGTCAGTCTGTTCCACCGTTACAGAAATTAATGTGGTGGAGGTTCTCACACATGAATAGGTTAAAAGCCCCAGGTTCTGTGGCACTGGCAAAACAGAGTTTAAATCCATAGCAAAAAAAGAAAAATTGGCAAAATATAGCACCTGATGTGGACACTAAAACTGCAAAGAAATAAAGTGTTTCTGCAGAGGAAATGAAGAAGCAGCCAAGGATAATGAAACTCCTTTGCTGAATATCTTTGCCAAGCTCACAGAGATATTCACAAGGAAGATGCTCATAACTGAGTCCAAGTGTGGTTTTCAATGTCCTGGAACATCCAGCCCTCACAGAGTGATACACATCCCACATCCCCAGAGGAAAATGGGTGTCACTCTTCCAAAACAACCAGAATCTGTTTAAATAAAACACACCACTTCTGGCAGTAGCCAAAGGTAAAGGTTTATCTATGAAATTATTTGATTAAAGAGTGTCTAACAACATCTCTGTAGGAAGCTGAATAAAGACTGCACTTCCCGTGCTGCAGAGCTGGCTTAAGATAGTTTAGATTTTTTGTCCAATATAAATACTGTATCAGCTATCTCCTTGCATTAGTCACTTCCTCTGCCCGAGTTCAGGAGGAGGTTAGTGCGTTCTCAGATCATGGCAAGATCACTCTATAAATCTGCACACAGATTTGCCAGTTACATTGTTTTGGGGAAGCATCTTTTTCCACCATGGTCTGCCTCTGGCCACGGTTCAAAGGCTCCTTTTCAATTCCAGATATGACAATTGCACTATCTCTGCTCTACAACAAAGATCATTCCACATGGGTAAGGGGAAAAAAACAAAGCAAACGAAGAATGGAAAATATTGTGGTCAAACAAACAGGCCTTCTTCAAAGAGGAAGATAAGTCAGTGCACACTATGGTGAGGAGGCTGCTTGGGTAGAACAGGATTTCTTAGAACTGAAATAATCAGGTACAGAAATGACAGTTGAGTGCAAGGAAACACTCAGATATTGTAAAAATATTCCAAAGCAGACAGCATCTGCTGCTTGTTTTCGCTATTAACTATTGCTTTATTTACTAGAAGCTGTGTTGAAGGAGATCATTTCCTAGGGGCACAGCAGACAGGATGTGCAGGGAGATGCTGCCTGCAGGGCCAGCACTGCTGGGCTGGACACAGGAACTGCTCACACTCTGTCCCCAGGCTGGGCAGCAGGCCTGGCAAAATACTCACATTCTCTCCAGAGCCTGAAAATTGCAGTGTGTAAGGACAGGGAATAGCTGTGCAGGTGAGCAGGAATGTTTCCCTTTGGGTCCTGCTCACTGCAGTGCTGGGGGCAGCTTCATCTCCCTCCCTGGGGTATTTTCTTCTGGATGCTTCATGCTGCTCTCCCTCCCCCTGTTTCTGTTTTTTAAATAGGCAGCACGGTTTAGGAGATGCACTGAAAAGGTGAACACCCTTCAAGCTGTGGATCAAACCAAATGGAGTGCCTACACAATCACAAATAAATGTCTAATTAAAGCAAATTTTACTTAAAAACTATCTATTTATAAATGCTTTTTTTAAAATGGAAATTAAAACCCTGCTTGAAGATACGATTTTGGAATATACAGAAATGTGGCAAAGTAACAAGCAGTCAAGGTCTGCTACTCAACCCTAGTTCTGCAGAGGGCACACAGAGCTGATTTTAGTGGCTTGGAGCAGCTGAAGGGCTACAAAACAAAGGCAATTCACAGAGAGGGACCAATGCTCCTTTAAAGGAATTTACAGCCAGGATCTAGGCCTGATGTTGCTCCCACTGACCACAAGTGGGAGTTTTGCTGCTTCTGCCGAAAATACAAATGGCAAAATCTAAACAGAGAAATACAAACTAGAAACCTTTTTATTTCTAGTAGTGGAGAGGATAAAAATAGGTAATTTAAAAGGAATAAACTTCAAATCAAAGAAGGGAAAAGAAAAAGGAGCACTCTTACATTCATGATAAGAAAATTTCAGGGCATTCACTTCTGTTGAGCATAAAACCACAATTTTTGAAGCTCACCACAATTTAATGAAGCTCACCCTGGTTTTGATGGCTAGTCCACCTCTTATGCTATTTTATCAAATGTATTTCATCAAAAGTTTGCACTTGCAATAAAAGCAATGGGGAGGGAGGTTCTTTTGTCCTCCCTCTTCTATTGACAGTATTTCTATTCTAAGTTGTAAAAAGATTGCCCTTAGTGTCCACATAATCTCCATTATAGAAGCAATTGATTTGAAGAATTTACCCTTGCTGCACTGCAGTGCATACACGCTGCACTTGCTGCAGGTATCCCCTGCAGCCCAAGGTGCATTTGGGAGCACTCAGTGTCTGTTCAGTGCACCCTGGGGCTCTCTGAACTCCCAGGTTTAGCACAGTGATTAGTTTGTACCTGCTCAGCCTCTCATCTCCCTTGCCCTGCCATCCCTGCTCTGGGCCACGCATTCCTACTCCAGAGCCTTCCAAGTGTTTCCCCTCGTGCTGCCCAGGGAGGGAGAGGATTGCCTTGCTGATAGCCCAGCCCTGGCTGCCTGCCCTGCTGTGCTCTGGTGACACCCCAGAGCAGGAGGCCAGCCCAGGTGAGCCCCAGGTGTGGCTGCCCCAGGTGAGCTCCAGGTGTGGCTGCCCCAGGTGTGGCTGTGCCCAGGCTCCCTCAGGTGTGGCTGTGCCCAGGCTCCCCCACATGTGGCTGGCCCCAGGCTCCCCCAGGTGTGGCTG